GCAAATGTCCCAAAGATGGATAAAACATTATTTTCCACATAGAAACCGAAAATCAGTAACTCCCACAATTTTCACAAGATAGTTAACATTAATTAACCGACTACTTGCATTAATTTTACATGAGAAATAAGGCCTGCTGGATCTACCCCAACTGCACAACAAAAATTTTCAAATGTTAGTACTCAACAAAGCTATCTGCCCTTTTTCATGTTAGACTCGAGAAAACATTAATCTGGTTCGGTCAAAGAGAAGTCGTATAAACTGATTCAAATGCTCTGAAAAAGTGCCAGCAAGATAAACATCTCAACAAAGCACAGCAATTTGGGCAAAGTCACGGCACAATATAGATCACACAACAAGCTTCAACTCTCTTCAATATAAAGTAACTCCTAAGCATGAAACACAAGGCATTTAGGCATAAACTCAACACCTAACAGCAAGATCAACACGTTTCAACACCAAAATATACATAACCGATGCATGAAAAAATTGCATATAACATCCTCAAACAACACAGCCCAAACCGGGTAGAAAAATAGCACAATCCATAGGACCTCCTCAGCATATTAATTAATCGCATAAAGGCCGAACCCAAAAATCACAAATCACATATAATCTATCTAAGGTCAACCTTTTTACCTCTTTTGAAATGATACACGCACGAGAAAGATCGAAACCAAACATTAGAGGCCTCGGTGATGGCTGCCTTGCCTCAGCTTGCGTCGGGGTGCCGTGTCGGGACAAGCGGACAGATCACTTACAACCCGTCTCAGCCGGTGCAAGACCCCGACTCTCGGTGGCCGAACGAATACAGATGGGGCCTCGCTGGTTCGGCCTTCGCAGACGGGTCATCGACGGGGCTCCTCACTGTTTGAACTCGGTTGCAGCTCACGGCGGCTGACTGGATTGTTGCTCGGACACCGGCTAGGCGCTGCAACGGTGATCACTCGCCTGCTCTCGATCGGTCGTCACCTGGACTCGGTCTCGTCGTCAGAAACAAAACTCAGCCCCTGGGAAGGTCGAGTCGGACATGGTCGCGTCGGCGATGGTGGTTTCAGTCGCGACTAATTGCTGCAAATCGAAGGTGTTTGGATCCCGCTCAGACCGCTGCCCTCAGTCACAGTCGCCAGATCTCGTTTCTGTCAGGTCGAATGATTTAGCCGCGCCTGGTGGCTAAATTTGGAGAAGATGAGGGCGATTTAATGGGATGCTCGACAGTGGTTCCCGCGAGTCCTCGTCAATGCCAGAGGCTGGGCTCGACGAACGGAGGAAGAGGGTTGTTGCTGTGCGACGGCTAGGATTCTCGGCACGGTTGGGACGCCGGCAGCCTGCGACGGTTTCTTTGTGCGAGTGGTCGGGTTATACCGAGGGGAGAAGAGGGCTTCGGGGAGTGAAATTTGTGAGAATACTGAATTTTATTCTGCAGACGAAATCGAGAAAATAAACCCCTTATGAACCTAAATTGGTTGAATTCGTACGCGAAATTTTCAGAAACAAATACATCATGGCCGCGCAAACCTCTATCGATCGCAAATACTTGAACAACACACAGATCGACAGTTGAATCGGAAACAAAAAAAAAAAAACTGACGAAAGCCAAAAAGTCGTCTCCTTTAATTCGGAAATGAAGAAGAACGAACCTCTCTTCCGTTCTCTGTCTTTTCGGTCATGAAAGACGTGCGATTGAAAATAAGACTCCTACACGCAAACGTCCAGAAAAAAGGGAATAGGATGAGAGCGTGAATTGAGGGAAGTGACGACCTCGAATGAAGACCCGAAAATAAAAACCATTTAATTAACAATAAATCAATTCATCCTAGCCGGCTTGATTTCGGATTAGTCGGTTCCCCTGTGAATCCGAAAACCGGAAGGTCCTGTACTAAAAAAAAAAAAAAAACAATAAATCAATTCAATGGCAAAACTGTAAATATGTGACAAAAGGAAGGTCAATTTAGTTCAAAAAGGACACGTGTCATCTCCACAAAAGCCCAACATTGTTGGCTTATATGTATACTAGATGGGTTACGCCGTGCACGCACGGCGGAATCAAATTCGGTCTAAAAATACCTCGAAAATACTCACATATCAACTACTATGAACAGAGTTTAAACACAATTTTTGTTCACAAAATCAGACTGCCCCAATTGTAATCCGAACAAATTAAACACATTCAAAGAATTTGATAATAATGTGGACCGGAACAATAGAAAATCTGTTGGTATAAAGAAACAACACAACTTAAACAAAAACCACGTCCTACTACACAAATTATATCACAAAAATTCTATCCACAACATGATCACTCTGCATAAAACACGGTTAAATCATCAATGGAACCGAAAAAAGACCAAAAAAACATTTACCAATTAAAGCAGGGCATCAAGCTCGTGGCATCCCTTGCAAAGGTCGTGGGCCCCATGTCGAAGCTCTTGTGTCTCCTAAAAAACAGGTCGCTCGTTACGGACTGGCCCTTTTCATGGCCCATCCTATACAAAAAACATCAATAGGCAATTACTTTTATCTAAGTCTACTCCAAATTTACATTTATTATTCAACGAAGCGACGGATGTATCCATCATGCACAGTAAAAAAACGGCTAAGTGGGTGATTGTGTTCCCAGTGGTGATGGTAATGGGACAATGCTCGAGTTCAATGGATTCCAGTTGCATTTTGGTGTCTAATTCTATTCTTAATTTGGCTTTTAAACACCAATAAAGTACTTCAACTTATTAATCAAGCACACTCTTCAAATTAATTCCAGGTGTTAGTTTCTATAAGCAAATACTATCATTTTCTAAATCTCAAAATATTTTTCCATTTATGTTACACTAAATCATTTCCACAAAATTCTTAATTTTTGCTAACATTCTTTTGCACTCTTGGAAAGCTTGGATAATTCTACTTGTACATTATAATTTGTACACTGAGGTGCAGATACTCGCACATGGGTTAGCACTCAAGTCTCATTTTTATTATTGTGGACCAGAATTTAACAATAACTATCATAATTTCTGCAACCTTCATATAAGATGATACCACATGACAATAAATTATTAAGACTGACCTGGATATATTTTGCCAAAAATGAAAAATGAACTAAGAACAATGTTTCATCCATCATGCACATATTAGCTACAGTAAATATCATCAAGTTCATACTGGGAGAAAAAAAAGCCCGACAACCAAAAGAATGATTAAACCATAAAGAATAAATTGAGCACTTCATCATGCGTGAAGTTGGGTATGCTCAACAACTTTGGAGGTATTATTAGTCCAGAAAATAGGTTTTTTTGTACATCCATGGGAGATGGAAAAGAAAGTCATTTAAAAATATACAATTGAAGGCTTTATCGATTGGCTGCTATAGCGAGAGACAAATTTAAGTACCTTTGCCGTTGTTTCTTAAATGGTTGGCATCCGTCTGAGAAACTGGCCCCGGTTCGCATAGATGCCACTATTAAATTCAGAGAAATCTCCGAATCACTGCTTTTGCGGTTGAATCTCATTGTTGGGATTGCGAAACAGGGACCCGATAGCGGTTGAATCTCAGAATTTCACCGTGGGGTCTCAAATTGGCCGAACAAATCGAAGCAACTTCAACCCACGATTTACTGCCATCTGCGAGATCTTGACGCCACGCGTAGCACCGACGGCTTGTCGCCGGAGCTGCTCGTTGCTCTCTGTCACTGGAGGGCACTTATGTCCGTGCAGTTTCGAGTGAGGGGCGGTGGAGATGATCTGGTTGCAGCCATCGCCATTAATGGAGGATGTGCTCGAACCCTAGCCGCTCGCCGGCACCCGTCAGTCGGCTTAGCGGCCAGAGTGACGGACCATATGGTGCGGCTCAGTGCGTCAGACGACAGCTTGAAGCGGAGCCGAAATATGATCAGGGCCGTCTCAACAATTTGGAGGTCCCTTCGCAAGCAAGAGACTAAGAGCCCGACAATCTAATTAAAAATTGAATATAACAATTGGAGTATATAGTACTATTTATAAGAGATAACTTACCATGTATATTTAGCCAATAAAAAAAACAGTACATTTAAAAAGGTAAAACAATAGTAAAATTTTGGATACTTCAAATAAAGGTATGCTTCAGTTCTTTTTAAAAATCTGCCTTCGAGCATTTCTTGATGCAAAATCTTCAAGAACAACATCAAGATCAATTTGATTCTGTTGATGTTATTGGACTTAAAAGTTAAATTAATTATTACTTGAATTGGCCAATACATCTATTAACATGTATATACAGTATACTCATGGGCCTCCTAACCTCGTGAGCCCTTGGGCGTCGCACCATCTGCCACCCCCTTTAAGACGGGTCGGAATATGATGATCCATGTTTGAGAGCTTGGGATTGAAAAGAGAGAAAAAGGAAAAAAGAAAACGATCGAGGGTGGAAAGGAAGAGTATGGAGAAAGCCTTTATTTGTGGCTGTTTGACTATAGTGAAACGTGAAAGACGGGAACAACCTGTTGCGTGTTTTATTTTTTAAGCCTAAAAAAAATCTGACAAACAACGTGCACAAGTTCCGGAAAAATAGGCTTTCATATGTAAATGACTCCAAAATGTAGCACTAGGTAAAGGCAATTTAATAAGGGCAATGCTATATGTACACCCCCTTTTAATAAATTACACAAAGAAAAGTGCTATATGTACACCCCTTTTTTACACTTGAGGGGGTGTACATATAGACACCCCCTTTAATAATTTCACACATGTCGATGACTTTACTACCCTCCAAAAGGCAGAGATATGAGAGGATATTTTGGTAACTGAAGAAAACACTGCCTTTCTTATCCATTAATATACACAAAAAAGCGGCCCTGAAATCGTGCAACCAAAATGGCAAATATGTAAAAAAAATGGGACACTTGTCAACTTTTAAAGGCCACAAATTGGACACGTGCACAAGCAGTAGACTACAAATTCAGTCTTCATCACCACATATTCTCTAGAAGACCATGTTTTCTTGTTAGCTAGCTTGTCTCCTAATCTCTATGGCCTCTGAAGGAGAAGTAAAACTCCTGGGTGCATGGCAAAGCCCCTACGTTCTACGTGCCCGAATCGCACTCAACGTTAAATCCGTGCCTTATGAATTCCAGCAAGAAAACATTCTTGAGACCAAAAGTGAACTCCTACTGAAATCCAATCCAGTCCACAAGAAAGTTCCAGTTCTCATCCATGCTGGCCGGCCCGTCTCTGAATCACTCGTCATTGTCGAGTATATTGATGAAGTTTGGAGTGGAAGGGAACCCATTCTGCCTTCGGATCCCTATGATCGGGCCGTCTCCCGGTTTTGGACTACTTTCATCGATGATAAGGTTAATTAGCTTTCATTTTTCTTTTCTGTTTTTAGTCTTTACATGTAGCCATGTTAGGAATATATATAACTAAACCAAATTGGAAAGGCCAAGTGTCAAATCGGGGCAAATCGAGTGCGGTCCCACACAAGTGAAGCGCACTATAAGAGGATTAGCCCAAATGAAGCCCAAGTGAGGTTCATCCCAAAACCAATTGGTGATGGGAGGAGTAGCCCACTAGACTTATAAACTAGGCTCATTTACCCTATCAAATCAATGTGGGACAACTCACAAGTGATATTCCCAACACGCCCCCTCACTTGTGAGCCCTTCATAGCCCACGCCTCCAACTAGGCCGGGTATAATTTTTAGCCCACGCCTACAACCAGGCTGGGTAGTTTTTTTTTTTTTTTTAGCAGGTCCCAAATTAGGCCCGCTCTGATACCATGTCAAATCGGGGGCAAATCGAGTGCGGTCCCACACAAGTGAAGCGCACCATAAGAGGGTTAGTCCAAATGAAGCCCAAGTGAGGTTCCATCCCAAAACCAATTGGTGATGGGAGGAGTAGCCCACTAGACTTATAAACTAGGCTCATTTACCCTATCAAATCAATGTGGGACAACTCACAAGTGATATTCCCAACACCAAGTTCTCTTTCTAAACTATATATAAAGGTCCTGCTGAAAGTTCGGTTCTTTACAAATTTGACTAGGGAGTTTTGGAAAAATAATTTCTTTTGTGCATGTTGTGATTTATTTGAAGATATATTTTCTGTACTGAGTAGTTTGTGAACTATTATATATATGTTACATGTTTGGGTGTTTTTAGCGGGAACAGATTGATAACCGAGTTATTCGAACCTTGGGTCGTCTCTCAAAGGAAGACTATTCGGAGTTTCGTTTACAAATCAATTGTCAAAGGCACAACAAAATAATAAAATCATAGACATTCTCAGCACTAGTTATCAAAGGCAAAAAAAAAAAA